CTTACAAAATATCATAACCCTGGAACAAAAGTAATAAGGACACCAGGAAACAAACAAACAAACAAACAAACAAAAAACCCAACAAAAACAAGGAGTGGGGAAATCCATCTTCTTTGTTACACTTGGAACACAGAATAACTAAATATTACATACACAATAAAACCAAAAAGGACACACAGAGAAACTGATATCATGCAAAATATCTAAAGGCATGAGTCTGTCACAGAAAACAATGAGGGGCTCTGGCAAATAAATATCTGTGAGATAAACAAAAGGTGCACCCCAGACTGTCTTAGGAAAGAATCTAAGTGTGTAAAGTACATGGTGTATTTGTCCAGACACTAATTTGTGTGATTCTCATTTCCCTTTTTTCATGCTGCACAATGAAATAAGAATCACACAGACATGAAATTTGGTATTTGTTAAATAGCTAATTGACTTTACAGAACAACAGGAAATAGCTTTTATGGGAAGTACACATTAAATGCATTGCTACACAAAGTAGCTTCAATGTGTCAAGAATGAAACTCATAAAAATTCTGTAAAACCAAACAGCTTTACAAATTAAAAACCAACAAAGAATCCATAGATTCACAGAATGGTTTGGGTGGTAAGGAACTTCAAAGATCATCTGGTACCAGCCCCCTGCCATGGGCAGGGACACCTTTAACTACACCAGGTTGCTTGGAGCCCCACCCAACCTGGCCTTGAACACTTCCAGGGATGGGGCATCCACAGCTTCCCTGGGCAACCCTCGCCAGTGCCTCACCACCCTCACAGGGAAAAATTTCCTCCTAGTATCTAATCTAAACCTTCCCTCTGTCAGTTTGAAACCATTCCCCCTTGTCATCACTCATCCTATCACTACCTGGCCTTGTAATTAGTCCCTCTCCATCTTTCCTGTCGGCTCCCTTCAGGCACTGGAAGGCCACAATCAGGTCTCTGCTGTGAGTGCACATCGATGGCTCGTGTCCAGCCTCTCACCCACCAGCACCCCCAAGTCCTTCTCCAGAGGGCTGTTCTTGATCCATTCATCCCCCAGCCTGGATTGATACCGGGCATTGCCCTGTCCCAGGTGCAGCACCTTCCACTTGCCTTTGTTAAACCTCATGAGGTTCACATGGGCCCACTCCTAGAGCTTATCCAGGTCCCTCTGGATGGCATTCCATCCTTTTGGAGTATCAAGTGCACCACTCAGCTTGGTGTCATCTGCAAATCTACTGAGGGTGCACTTGATTCCTTTGTCTGTGTCATTGATGAAGATATTAAATAACACTGGTCCCAGTATGGACCCCTGAGGGACAACACCTATCACTGATGTCCATCGGGACTCTGAGCAGTGGACCACTACCCTCTGGATGGAACTGTCCACGCAATTTCTTATCCATCTAACAGTCCACCCATCAAATCCACCTCTCTCCAATTTAGAAAGAAGAATGTCAAAGGCTGTACAGAAGTCCAGACAGACGATATCTGTAGCCCTTCCCTTGTCCATTCATGTATCATAGAAGGCCACTGGGTTGGTCAGGCAGGATTTGCCTTTGGTGAAGCCTTGCTGGCTGTCTCAAATCACCTCCCTGTTCTCCATGTGCCTCAGCAGAGCTTCTAGGAGGATCTGTTCCATGATCTTCCCAGGCTCAGAGGTGAGGCTGACAGGTCTCTAGTTCCCATAGGCCTCCTTTCTACCCTTTTAAGATGAATGCAAGGTTTCCCTTTTGTCAATCACTTGGGACTTCACCTGACTGCCAAGATTTTTCAACTATCATGGACAATGGCCTGGCAACCACATCAGCCAATTCCCTCAGGACTCTGGGATGCATCTCATCAGGTCCCAAAGACTTCTGTACATTCAGGTTCCTTGGGTGTCATGAACCTGATCCTTACAGTGGGAAACACTTTGTTACAGCAGTGGGAAGCATATGATTTAAGGTACTTTCTGGGGCAAATGTGAAATGTGTTCATTGTTTACTAACCTTTTTTCAAAGGTAAAATGAAGGCTTGTTTTATTCCGTTTAGCCACGTGTTTCAGGCTAATGGTAATTGTCAAAGTGCTTCAGATGCTGTCCTGTATAAATTATGTAGTTCTATTGGATTCTGGACTGGGGAAGAATGAGGCAATGTGAAATTTTCTCTGGAAGTAAATACTGAGCAAACTGCCTTACTACATTCCAGTATGCATTAGTCCATTAGGAGGTTGATGGCTTCTTTTCATAACACAATCATTTTCATGCATACTCTAAAGTAATTTCTTGTCTTCTTTTGAAGGTATTAAAATTCTGACAGTTTTGTGTTATTCTTCGGTAAAATGACACAATAATTTCATTCATAAAACCGAATCATCATTATCCATAATCAGCAATGGATTATTCATTTAGTAAAAAGATAATATTGTGTCTTCAAGGGCAGTCATCATCTTTTGTATATTTGATTTGAAATTTAATTTGCTTATAGAGAGAACCTTTGCTTTTTACACTTTTATACAATTTAAAAATTTGGTTTTGCTTTTTTTTAATGCATAAAAAAACTTTTAGTGGATTGTCGCTGCTATTTATGTCTACAATGCAGCGTTTGCTCAGCCTGTCAGATCAACAATTCATTAAGGTGAAAAAAAAGTACAGTGATCCCTTTGTATCACAGAAACATTGTGGTTGGAAGAGATCTCTGGAGATTGCCTAGTCCAACAAAGATCATATATACTGATGGCTGCTAAAAATGTGAGTATCACAATAATGATAATTTTCTGGTTTCTGTGTGTATGTTTATAAAGCCTGAACTAACTGCAATATTACAGAAAAAATATGGTAGGCAAGGTTTTCTTTGTTATACAGTAAATCTTTCAGTCTTCCATCATGTTTGTGTCATTCCCCAGTAGGAAACTGGTAAGATGATCCAGTCTATAACATTAGCTGTTTGCTTTTGGCTTTGGAAGAGAAGGAGTACGGTGTACATACATGAGTCTAGGGACTATTTTTCAATTTCCATGAAAATCTGATCTTCTTTAGCTAAATTGTGAATTTCTGAGAACGCTACAGTGAGCAAAGAGCTGTTGAGCCAAAAAGGAAGTGGTGGAGAACCCAACAGGCCTCAGGAATGAAGCCCGGATGTTGAGATAAGGAGAGAAGGAAGGATGGAAATGCCCAGAATGTAAGCACTGAGTGAATAATCATTGTAATAAGGAAGAGTATAAAGATTAGATTTCCCTAACCACAGTAGCTTCAAGAATGCTCTGGAACTTCCCAGATTCTTCTGCATGCTGCTGCATTCTCTCTTGTGAGGCTTGACAGTCACAGTATTCAAATAAAATGTTAAAAGCTTTTAGAAATACACTGTAAGAGTGATTTGGAGCCCTTAGAAGTATGAATTTATGATGTAAAGTTCAGATGGATCTTGTCTATAAGAGAGAAGTTGAAAGGAAACATGATAGCAGCTTTCAAATAGTTAAGAAGAAATGTGGAATAAACTCATCTTCATGTCTGTGAGGAGTGAAACAAGAAGTAACAGACTGAGATTGCAGCTCAGGAAATTCAGATGAAGCACGAGAAAAACCTTTTCTTGGCAGTGAGAATAGTGAAGCAGTAGAACACATTGCATATGAAGGTTTTGGAATCACCATCTGTTGCAACTCGAGACTAAACAGATATCTCCAGGAATTACATCGGTGGAGTTGATGATGTTTTGGGCTAAAATGGGAACTAATTGGCTTTAGGACATCACTTCCAACCCCTTTTAAAAAAATGTAATTATACAACCAGTCTACAAGTACTACAACTATATACAACAAGTAGAAAATGTTTTGCATAAACAAAGGCCTCTCTAATCCTCCAGGAAAAGCTCTTTTGGGTTCTGCAGTTGGGATAAGAGCTACATAAATTCAAGATATGAAGAAGACATGCATTTTAAGAGCTGCTAACCACTGAAAAAATCCCCAAAGGACATGGTAGATTTCACATAGCTTAAAACCGAAAGTGTTGTAGCTTATATATAATTTATGGGCATGACTCAGATGTAACTGTTTGAATTTACTGTATTTAGGCTGTCCTTTATGGGATGTGAAACTTGGTGGTTTGAAATCCTATTTAACCTTTTTGTGTGACTAACATTTCCTGGGATATCATATTCTATGTCTGCATATGCAAGGCATTCAAGTAATACAACACACTATTTTAGACTCCATCATGTCCAAAATCTGCTGTAAAAGCCACAAAAACACATTCACAGAACAATGTAAAATGAGCACAATTTTTGCTGTTGGTGTCTGAAAGTGGTGTGCCTGCAACTGCAACTCTTGCTGCTGGATTAAAGGAGACAAATTGTTATCGCAGCATTAAATTTGTCTTAGATTTGCTTAATCTAACCTCTAAATACTTGATTTTAGTTCAGTTATTAGGAAGAAATTCTTCACTATGAGGGTGGTGAGGCCCTTGCCCTGCGGATGTTGCATCCCTGGAAGTGTTCAAGACCAGGTTGGCCAGGGCTTGGAGCAACCTGGTCTAGAGGAAGGTGTCCCTGCCCATGGCAGGGGGTTGGAACCAGATGATCTTTAAAGTCTCTTCCAACCACAAGTGTTCTGTGATTTTATGAAATACTGCAGTTAAGGACCGACTTTGGCAAAGCACATTTCATTTCAGAATCTGACCCTCCACTTGCAACTACGATGAGGACACTGTGCATTCTGCAGTGCTAGAGAAAGTGACCTGTATCAAAATAAGAAACATTTAAATTAGCAGAAGTAATTAAGTAATCATTATGTCTTCTTAGGGTTGCAGCCAGCATTGAAGAAGAATGGCAATACCTGACCCAACACCACTTTGTCAACTAGACTATAGCACTAATTTCCACATCCAGTCTCTTAATCATTTCCAGGGATGGTGACTCCACCACCTCCCTGGGCAGCCCATTCCAGTGCCCAGTCACTCTCTCTGTAAAGAACTTCTTCCTAATGTCTAACCTAAACTTCCTCTGGTACAGCTTAAGACTGTGACCTCTTGTCCTGAAAAAACAAAAAGTGTCCCGGAGGCACTACAACACCGTGATGATGTGCTGAGCAGCAGGAACAACCTCTGGGTCCAACTCCCGCGCCCAAAAATCCATTTAATATAAAGTCCTCTCATCAAGGACACATCAGATATTAAACTGGTAAGAACCGAGAAGAGCACTTGATCTTAGTCAAAAGGCCACAAAGTGATGCTCTAACCAGCACCCCTATCTCTTATTTGGCAACACAACCAGGCTGTCCCACCCCCACACAGGAACCCTCTGGTCATTATTGGCATATGCAAAACTCCTGATTAAAAAATTATCCAATTATTATTGACGTATGAAACTGATTTTCTTTATTCGAGTGGGCCCTTTCTTATTTCAACACAGGCCTTTTGGCGTCGCTTGGGGCAGCACAGAACAGGACGAAGACAACGAATGAACAACAGAAGAAAGGGGAGCGCCCCGACTCGCCCTGAGGGGCTCAGGGGGCCGCGCTGAAGGAACATGGCGGGACCGGCGGCCACGCCTCCTCTTGGCCCCCGCCCCTTGGCCCCGCCTACACCACCGCCTCGTATAAAAGCCGCGGGTGGGCGTGGCCCCGGGGGCGGCATTTCCGGTCGGACATGACGCCACAGTGTCAACATGCAAGATGGCGGCGCATCACCGGCAGAACACGGCGGGGCGCCGGAAAGTGCAGGTGAGGGCGCGGCGGGACCGCGGTGACTCCGGGGAGAGCCCGGCGCCTCGCGGGGCTGCGGTAGCGCCCGCGTGGTGTCAGGGCGTGGGGGTTTCCACGGCAGCGCCGCCGCCCCCTCTTTCACAGCAACGCTGCGGTGAGGGGAGGCACCGCCACACGCCCCCGGTGTCGCTCCCCCGCCTCGCTGGCCGCCGCGGAGGGGGCGAGCGACTGCCTGAGGCACCGCGGGCGATGAGCCGCTGCTCGCTGCCCGGCGGGGTCGGGACCCGCAGGAGGCAGAGCTGGACCAGCCCTGATCCAAAGCACAGCGGGAGGTGAAGTTGAAACCGAAAGAACTGTGACCCGCCACCCTCCCCGCAGCCCTGCCTCAGCTGTAACGTGAATTTCCAGCAGCGGCAGAGCTGCAGGTTCCTGCCGCTCGCTCGGCTGTGTCCCGCGCCGGGGGTTTCCCTCTAGAGCAGGGTGAGAACAGCTCCTCGGGTGTGCGTTGCCTGTCTGGAACAGCAAACCCAAGGGTAAGGCAGGAGTGCCCAGGCTGGCAGGTCCGAAGGGAATTTACTGGAAAGATGGGCAAGATTATTAACAAGAGCTTGTAGTCTCAGGACAAGGGGGAGCGGGTTCAGTTTGAACGAGAGTAGGTTTAAATTAGGCATTAGAAGGAATTCTTTATGTGTGGCTGGTGAGACATTGGAACAGGTTGCCCAGAGAAGCTGTAAATGCCCCATCCCTGAAGTGTTCAGGACCAGGTTGGGTGGGCAACCTGGTCTAGTGGAAGGTGTCCCTGCCCATGGCAGGGGGCTGGTGCCAGATGATCTTTAAAGTCCCTTCCAACCCAAACCATTTTATGATCTGCTTTACATCTTACCACTACTTTGACTTCTGATTAGTATCTTGTTTCTGTTAAACACTGGCCATTTGCACACATGAGCAAGGAACAGGACTTTTTCTGTTTAGAATTCAAAATTTTGTTCTTCCCAGCTCCAAGCAGCATTTGCTGAAGGAAACCTTTGGCATAGGCAGCCTGGAAGGTGTAGAGCACACCTGAGAGAGAATTAGACTCAGAGGTGTGGGCTCGTGTAGTTAGGGGTACATTATTGTAGCCTTAGTGGAGACTGGAATTACCAATGTGTACAGTAAAAGTCATGAAAATGGTTTTATTTTATGGTCCTCAATGCTTTGCTGCTCGTTTGTGCTGCTACCAGCCCTTCAGGCATTTTTACAGCTTTCACTATGGAAAAGATTTAATGCTTTATCAATGTGCAAAGCTGCCCAGTGGCAAGTGCAAGTTTCAGCTGTATCTTTCCACTGTGATCAAATGAAATATTAATTAGGCTTGGAATAGCATTAAGATCCTTCCAAACAGAGGTGGGTTTGGTTTTTGAACACACCTTTTGAGTTTTACCACACAGAGGAAATGTGCACCTCTTTAGAGCCTTTAGTGTTTTCTGTGGTTAAGGGAAGCACTCAGTCAATACTGTATAAAGAATTCGCTTACTCTACCAGAAAATTCCTTGGACATTTTTTAAAATACAAAAAATCCAAAGCATAATATCCCTTTATTGACTTCATTGCCTCTGCCGTAAACAAGTTTTTGCAGGTTGCACTTCTAAGGAAGGGGATTTTATTACACCTTGATATTTCTTTGATGTAGTCCTATTTATGAAGGAGTACTTCCCTGACAGCAGCATGCATCAAAGAGCACATTATTTCCTTTTTTACTACTACATTTGTTTTCTAAGCATTACTTAGCTCAAAAGCTTGTTTTTACAGGTGGGTTTTGTGCTGGTTTATGATGTCTTCTTTTCTGTTCTCATTGTGTTATGTGACTATTTTTTTTTTCACTTCGTGTACTGCTATAGTGATCTGTGGTCTTAAGTGGTGCACCAGAAGTCTAGATCTGCAGTTTTTTGGTTACATGTTTTCCAAAGAAGCTGTGAATGCCCCATCCTTGGAAGTGTTCAAGGCCAGGTTGGATGGAGCTTGGAGCAACCTGGTTTAGTGGAATGTGTCCCTGCCCATGGCAGGGGGTAAGAACAAGATGATCTTTAAGGTCTCTTCCAACCCAGACCAATCCATGATAAACATTTATAAAGCCTTGAACAGAAGCTGTTGGTTTTTTCTTGCCCTCTTATTTCACCTGCTCGATCAGAGACAGGATTTTTTTCATGTAGTTGAATTTTAAGTGGCTGTTTTATCCATCAACTGCTACTGGAAATATAAAACCACTCACAATTTATTTTGCTTCCCAGTGGCTGAGCATTTAGGATGCTGCTACGTGTAACTTTTCAGGGAGAGGCAGACAGAGGGAGAAATTTGTCCCAAACATACAAGACTATGAGAAGCTTTTTCAAAAAACACCTCTCGGGTATGGAAGTACTTGATTACTTACATGGATGAAGTTTATGGAAATCAGAGCTATTAATATCTTGGATGCACTAGTTTTACTGGTAAGCAAAACCATCCAAAATAGTCAGTTTAGGGTGTTTCTGCATATGTTACTAAGGATTTAATCAGACTAGATGCTTTAGGCCTCAAAATAAATTCTGTGCATAGAAAAAGGAAAGAAGTTGAATTATTTAAATGGAAGCCAGGCATTTGAAATGTCCAGTGGCAGGTGTTTCTTAAGCATAGCTTGGCATGTCTGAAGGCTGCAGGAATGAGGTTGTCTGATTTGGGAAGAGGATGAGGATGCAGAGGTGTGTCAGACACTGCTGTTGGCCATATGCTGTACTTTCAGATCTGTTCCTGGGAATTAAATCAAGATGGAGCCACTTCTCAGCAGGTGGCTTGAAGTAGCTGCCCTTAAGGGGTTGCGTTGTATCTGCTCTGCCAAAGTTGCTCCCTGGCCAGAATAAATTTACCCCCACACTTGAAACATGTTGACAACGTGTGGGAATTTTGCCATAACTGTTTTGGATCAGCATCCTTATAAAATTATTGAATTTTAAGTACTTTTTGTCTTTAAGTCTTGTACAGAATAAGATGATCTCATGCCCTGTCCCTAGAATTGTTCAAGGCTAGGCTTGATGGGACCCTGAGCAACCTGGTCTAGTGGAAGGTATCCCTGCCCATGGCAGGGGAGTGGAGCAAGGTGAACTTTAAGGTCCCTTCTAACCCAAACTGTTATAGGATCTCATTGCACTGATTTGGTCATCTTTATGTGCTACTACTTCAACTTACTACATTTTATATGTGTTATTTTTAATATTTTATACATAATAAATATACAAATTATATTTATAAATTATATTTATTTCATATAAAATGCTTAAGCAAACAAATAGCCAGTAAGTTGATTACACTGTAAAAGGATAAAATGATTTTTTTAATGCCTTCCATTACTTTTATTCTAGAGCCTGGGGACCCTGATAAGAATTCAAATAATGTGTTCTTAATTAAAATCCATATTTTTAGGGATACTTATGCTCTACTAAGATACTAAGGCAATAGATATTTCTTTTCTTGCTACTTGACTGCTGCTTTTTCTCTCATTTTGAATGCAATTCCTGTCACATCTCATGGAATCCTCCAGTGATTTTGAAAATTTTCTTTTTTTTTTAAATTGTTCACAATAGTATTTGTCTTGTGGAATTTATTTTTTTTCCACTTAAAACCAAGGGATGAGTGTCCTCAGAGCTCCACTGGTCAGTGTTTCCTCCACATGATGGTGTGGTGGTGTTTTTATTAGTAGATTTTACCCATCTATGAAGGTAAAATCTGTTATAGGCATGTCTTGTAACAAGGGTAACAAGGCTCCAGATCAGCTGATACACTCATCCAGGCAAGAAACACATCGTAGGTCCTACACAAAATTCACTTGTCTTTATGTTCTGAAATGCATCTGTTGACAGAAGCTTTATCTCTGGAGCTTAGGTAGTCATTAAAATGATTAATCCTGATCCATTTAGGGTACTGAATCCCATAAACTCTTTATACTGAGAGCCCATCCCCTTGTGATGTTTGTGCTGTGCTGCTGTGAAAGATTCTTGTTCATGGGGGAGTTTATAAAAGCTGCAGCAGAGTTGCTGTCAAAGGCCTGGGTCATTATTAAAATATCTCACATCCCAGGAGTCCTGTCCCTCTCAGATGGTGGCAGTAAACCCCTGGTGATCTGTGTCACAGTCAGGGTTGTCTCTGGTTTGCCACTGACTCTGGGCACAGCAGTGATGGTGCTCCAGCCTGTCCTGCTTGGAACAAATACCACTGAGTGCTCAGAGCTGTCACTTCCTGGTGACCTCCACAGCCCTTTCCAGGCAGGACACAGGACCTTATACGCAGAGATAAAATGTGTGTGCTCCAGAGCAGGTGAGAATTTTATCACAGCAGTTTCTCCATAGCCAAAATCTTACTGCTTTTATGTTCTTTACACATGCTTGTGTACACACGTACTTGAATATATACATTATATTTTGTATTTGTTTGTATACTCACCAGAGTTACTAACATTTCTTATTTCTATAATCAGTGACACTCAAAAACCAACCAAACAAAAAAGGCACTTTCTGACCT